TTTTTTTTGTATCGAAAAAATATCGAACCGTGACACCAAAGTATCGAACCGAACCGAACCGTGAATTTTGTTTATCGTTGCACCCCTAATATATATATACAAATACAAGTAATTAAAAACCACATGCATGGCTTTTGTTGTACAAAAAGGGGCTATTTTGTTTCTAGTGTGTGTTGAACACACACAGTTCTCCTGATTTTCTCCTGATTTCTGGTCTACCACAATAACCTCAAGCTGCAACTCTTGTTTGCTGTCAAAGAAAAAACTATTCGGAGTGAAATAGCACATAAAACACAAAATTTCATGAAAACAAACACAAAAGGGTAAAAAAAAAAGCAAAAGCAATTAATTTTAAATTAACTGTCTAGAATGTAACTATGAACAGCTATTCACTATGCATGACTCCAAAATTCTGTTATAATATAATGTTTGTGCACAGTAATGAAGCATTTTCCTCCTTGGATCTAAAGGATTACAATTAGTAATTTGTAAGATGTATACTAATGTTAATAAAAATAGATGTGTGAAACTTGCTGATATCAACTGAATTTAGAAATCTGAAAGTTTGTTTTTGTCTACCCAGTGCAAGGAACAATACACACTTCCAGAAGCCCTTGTTGATTTGATATATGCCAGTGGAACTAATGGCGTGCTTAGAGTAGAAAATATAATTGGTTTAGAAAATATTAAAAATCCTTTTTGTTTTTTTTCCACTCTCTGGTTGCATTCTTGCATTTGCAGCCATTGTCATGTGTCATAGAGATGGACCCAAAAAAACAGAACAGCTTAAATCTGATGGGAGCGCAGGTGCTCCCATTGGTTTTAGGTCAAATGTTTAGGCCAAAGTACCATAATCTTGAACCTTTGGCAGCAACCCTGTGCTTTTCAGTGATATTAGGGTCATTACAGTAAACAGTGCATATCCAAATATTGGTATGTAACATAGAAAACAACACAGCAAACAGCAAAAACAAAACAGTAAAAAAAAAAAGAAAAGAAAAAGAAAAAAAACATTATAAAAATAACCCTAAATGCCCAATAAAATGTCTGTTTTTGCCATCCCACTCAATCATTCTCTCTTCTCTTAACCAACCTTCGTTGTCATTGGGCTGCTTGACACTGCCTGGGATTACCATAATCACCCTAATATCACTGAAACACGCAGAGTTGTGTAAATCACAATGCAAAATAACAAGGCATAGGAGCTAATCAGGCTGAAGATCTCAGGCAATCTAAGAAGAGAGGGAAACGACAGTGGCTGAAAAAACATATTTATCCTTAGGCAGCAGTTTCAGGGTTCCTTCTGTGTTGCCTGGTCTGGATCCTGGAAGAAAACTAACAGTGGAAAACAATATCGGTTGGTGTTTTACCGAGTGGGGAAGAACAAAATGATTAGAGATGTGAACAGGTTGGGGGCTTCTGTTGATTGAGTGCCTGCACCACATTTGCCTTGTAATGATAGAAAAAGTAATTAGTTAGATTACCCATTACTAAAAAAAGTAATAGTGTTAGTAATGCCGTTTATTTTAACGTCATTATTCCCATCACTGACTGCCTGGTTCTGAGGAAACAAGAACTTACAGGGAACTATAATATTCACAGCAGTTCATATCTTCCAGATTTTGTCAGGTTTCAGCCTTATTCATAAGTGGATTCAGTTCACTTATTTCACCTTGAAGTTCTACACAGAAGTTGTAAGCAATTCAAATCTTATAAAGCACCTCTCAACGTCACATGCTTCAACAAAACTAGTCACCAAACATCTGTACAGCAAATAATAAAAGCAATTTTGGTGTAAAATTACCATAATATTGCTGTTGAGTTGGACAAGATTCACTCACACTACGGCATATCCCACAAAATAACATCAACTGTGATGGACAAGGGCCTTAATTTTGTCAAGGCCTTCAAAAAGTACCAGCCAGTTGAGGAGGATGACTCTAAGAATGATGAGGATGAGGATGAGGTAACTTTTACAAACATGAACGATGCCTTAAAAAACCGTGTTGGTGATAATGACAATGATGATAATGTTGGTGTGGTGATCACTTTGCGACCACATCAGAGATGTGCATCACACACATTAAACCTTGTTTCTTGAAATGATGTTGACAAGCAGTTACTATCGCGACCAGAAGTAAAAGTGGTATATAGAAGTGCTACCACAAAGTGCACAGGGTTATGGAACAAGGCCAGTCATTCAAAAGTGGCCGCAGAGACAGTGGATGGCATTATTGGAAAGAAACTGCTAGTTCCTTGCACTACCAGATGGAATTCGTTTTATGACTCCATGGCTAAAATCTGCGAGATTTCTCTGGTTGAGCTGAACACCATCTTCTCCAAGTTTGGGTTGACAGCCATGACAGAGTGGGAACATGAGTCCTAAAAGGAGTACTGCACTGTCATGAGGCCATTTTTTTATTTTTTATTTAACCTTTATTTAACCAGGAATGTCCCGTTGAGATCAAAGACCTCTTTTTCAAGGGAGTCCTGGCCAAGAGGCAGCACATTTCAAGACAAATACAAACAAACAAAGTTAAAATTACACAAAACAATTACACATTATTGAGGCAACCTGTAAGCCTTTGAGTTTAGTTTTAAAAACATTTAAAGACAACAATTCAGT